TCATCTTAAATGAAGCAAACATAACTGAAGCAGTAGTCAGGTGGATCAATGACTTCCTCTCTAGAAGAAAATTACACCTTGGAAAGGAAAGCATACAAATCAACAGACGATTACTCCAAGGAAGAGGACTGAGTCCTGTAATGTGCGATTCTGGAATAATCCGTTCTTTTAGAGAAAACCTATTTCAAAATCCATTCATTTCCATAGTTGTTGACCGGAAATATATCTTGACAATTTTAAGTTGTAATTGTAGTAGATTTAATGAGATGGCCATTCCTTGGTAGTTCGGAAATGTTTAATTTGCTATTCATATGGCGGAAGTCATATGGTGCTTAAAATAGCTGAGCGAAATAAAGTTTTGCTTAAGTTCCGGTGAGCCAAAGTCTGTCTTTTGGATCCAGCCTTCACTCTAGCTAGACGACTTTAAGGAAATCAGCAACTTTCCACACTCTGGTAAATATATTAAATAAATTCTGTAGGAGATATTTAACGTCAAGAAAAAGTAGTATTTTTAAAGTTTCTGCATATCTTAATTTATAGGCATTAACGCAAATCATTGCAAAAATAAAAGGGTTTTTGTACGAAAGCAGAGAAGCAAGTATTATAAACGACATCTTAGGAAGTCAAATGGAAGGCTTTAGGAAAAGTCAGATTTGAAGATCTTGACTAAATCCTTACGGGCAAGTTGTTTTCATACGGTAAATCCTCACCTATTCGTTTTTATTTTATTTTTATAATTAAGAATATATGTATTCCAAAATCACAGATTGCGAAATTCGGAATTCGATTGTGAATTAGACATACATACAGGGGAGCGGAGTCTTTTAACTCCAACCTCCACTCTCCCACCACGAATTTGCCGAAAAGGGTAGAAAAGCAACGAAAGATCGGTCCAGCATCAGTAATTTAATCAACAGGCAATAAGAAGCCACGCATTCACGGACGGACGAAGAAAATTGTTAGAATAATATATATAAAATCATAATGTGGTGAATTATATAAGAAGGTGGTGACTGTGTGATGGGGTGGGTGATTATCAAATAGGGACCT